GGGTGCGTCTTAAAAGTGGCTCATCCCTATAACTTTTCTTTTTTCAGATAAAAAAACAGATTTGGTATGTTAGTATATGACGTAAATTAGAATTGACGGACGTATTCAATTGTTTTTGGTCACTTCCTGTTTCACCCGAAATGACCCCAACTTTTCATTTTTAAATTACACCTTTATTTTTATTTTTTTACTTTATTCAATAGAAAATGACACTCTGAATAGAATAACATATCATATGTCAACTGTTGACATTTTTGCTTAAAAAAATCGTATTTTAAATTACAATATCGATTGCCTTGGCTGTGTGAAAAACATTAATTTTTAATCAAGAATCAAGAATTTTAATCAAGAAAATAGATTTGACCGTCTAATGTTTTTCGTCTCCTGTCCTGGTTGGCTAAAAGATGCCTAAATCGTATGTTTAATCATATCCCAAATTTTTCAAATGAAAAGAGGATGGCTCATTAGCATATTTGGAAAAAGCATTTTTTACGCATAATTTGATACCACACACTTGGTATTTCGAGTCAAATTGTCGTTATGAACCGCATGTTACAATTTCAAATAAACCAAATGCGAAAATGTCAAAAGTTGACATATGATATGTCATTCTATTCGAATAAAGAAAAAAAAATACCGAGGGTGTCATTTAAAAAACAAAGGTTGGAGTTTGGTGAAATAGTTGATTTCCGGTGAAACAGGAAGTGACTAAAACCAATTCAATATGTCAATCAATCCTAATTTATGTCATATACTAACATAACAAATCTCGTTTTTTATTTCAAAAAATAAAAAAGTTATAGGGGTGAGCCACTTTTGAGACGTACCCGGTATGTATTTAAATTTTTATGTAATAGTTTTAAGTGTAACGTTTATTAAAATGGGAATCAGTGTTGGCATTGATACCAAAAATCCACTGTTTTATTTGTAAATTTTATTTGCACAATAATAAAGAGTTTTTAAGATACTAATTCAACAAAATTAAGCGGTACCAAGAATAAAGTTAATAAATTAATTTATAAGTGAGATAAAAGTCTTACGATCGATAAAACTAAATGTAGATATCTGCAGATATCGGCATTATGTCTAGATATTTTAATATAATTATCAACTATAATAATGTCTATATCTTTGTGACTGACGGTTTTTATACATTTCTTGAAAAAAACTGGTTATTTCAACACTGAGAAAAAGACACACACACACAAAAAAAGTGATTTTTTTGTAAAATATTATGCTATGCGATGATATTTTACTAAAGAGAACTTTTTTATTTTGTATATTCCTATTTCAGTGGCAAAACAACCACATCAGGCTATTATCAAGAAATTCTAAATTAATCCAACATAATATCCAGGGTGGTCCGAATTGTATTCGGCAAACTTCGGCAGCATATTCTCCAGATAAAAATAAGTAAACTAAAATTTTTGGTAAAATTTCTTGGTAAAAATCGCTACGAGAAATGGTTCTCATGTTCATCATTGACAAAAATTGAGCATGTTACTACTAAGAATGTTATTACAATGAAATCATGAAACTGAAGTTGTGCCAAAGGTTGAACAGAAACTATTTCAACATATTTTTTTTTAGAAAAAATTATGATTAATTCGAAAAAAAAGTTCATAGATTTATAAGTCCCAGTCAATTATCAGTCCCATGTAAATATTTTTATTCAGTGGTTTAATACAGGTACCTACAGACCAAAAGTTTTTAAATCAGTCAAAAAAATATGTATGTAGATGGTTCAAGGAGTCATATTGAAATTTAAATCAAATTTCCCGTGTCAAAAAACACCAGTTTTGAAACGAAGCATTTTTGGACATAACTTTATACGAACTTTTTTTCTTATTTTTTATCCGTAGAATATGCTGCCGAAGTTTCACAAATACAATTCGCAAGAATTATGTGGTAGATCTTGATAAAAGAAACATATTTTCTCTTTGTCGTTTTTCAAATAAGCCTAAAATAACGGAGTTATTTTACTTTGAAAATTTCCAAAAAAAAAATATTTTTTTGCTAAAATTTTGAGAACTGCTGGATCTTTTCTGAATTTTCTTTTTTGTAAATTTAATCTACTACCTATGTTGGCATATTATTAAGAAATTATGTTCTTTACCTAAAAAAATTCCCAAAAAAAAATTCATTTTTTTTTTCGTGAAAAAAACCTCATAGTCGTGTTCCTGGGGTTGAACTATACTACCAGTTAAAATACTTGCACTTATTTCTGGGACACCCTGTATGTATAATCTTGAAGAATGAACTGAAGATATGACGAAAAAAAGTGAGTCAAGGCTTCATTAAAAAAATATTAATAACCAATATATTAAGGGGCTAAATAAGAACATAAATAAAACTTTCTTTTTGGTGTCATAGCAATGTATCTCTCATGACTGAGTTGCAATTTAAGGATAAAGTCAAGGCTTTCAAATTGCTAATCTGATGACAATGAATGGCATAGACATTGACCGATTTTGCACAAGCTTTGTGTTCCTGCAATTACAATTATTGTTAGTAGATAAAAAATAGTTGTGCAAAAGCTGTTGAATTTACTTTGTAGCTTAAATAACAACTCGATTTCCTGCTGTTTTTCTTTATAACGTTCAACTACTGTTTTATCTATATGTACTGTATGATCGAAAATAAACGGCGTCTAGTTGGCTTGGAAATGTACGGCGATGATATTCCTCATATAATTTTACATACATATAAAATGACAGCGATCTTCATTGCATAGCCATCGCCGACGCCGATTTTTTTTCGATCATATTGCACTGTACGGTTAAAAAAAACCGTGATATATTTTGTGTTGCTAAATGAAGGTCGCTCAGTCGACCATCATTACAGAGACATGACATAACATTACATGACATCACTTCCAAGACAAATGGACGCCGTTCTTTTTCGATCATATGGTAGTAAAAAACTTTAAATGGAGGATATTTTAGGTTTGAAAAGCCAGAAAGTGAAGTAAAAATAAACAAAAGACGATCAGAATGCTAAGAAAAATTTCAAACTTATATATATACAGGGTGTCCCAGAAATAAGTATTTTAACTGGTAGTATAGTTCAACCCCAGAAACACGCCTATGAGGTGTTTTTCGCGAAAAAAAAATTTGAAAATTCGAATTTTTTTAAAAAATATTTTGGATTTTTTTTTAGTTTTTAGTTAAAAACCATAATTTCTTGATAATATGGCAACATAGGTATTAGATTAAATTTACAAGAAAGAAAATCCAGAAAAGATCCATTGGTTCTCAAAATTTTAGCAAAGAATCATTTTTTTGGAAATTTTCAAAGTAAAATAACTCCGTTATTTTGGAATTACTTGAAAAACGATAAAGAAAACATAATGTTTCTTTTATCGAGACCACCCCTTAAAATACTTGCACTTATTTCTGAGATACCCGGTATATTTTTAAAATGATCTTTTATATCCGATTTCAAATATACAGGGTGAGTCTTAAATAAGTGCAAATATTTTGAGGGCTGGTAGATCTCGAAAATATTTTCTCTTTATCGTTTTTCAAATAAGTCGGAAATAACCGAGTTATTTCACTTTGAAAATTTCAAAAAAAATGCTTAAATTTTGAGAACCACTGGATTTGGGGTTGGTAAAATTGGGTTTCTGGTGCCCGGTGGCGTAGAGGTACAGGCTCTCGTCTACCAATCTGAAGGTAGTGGGTTCGAATCCCACACACGGCATTTCATCAGCCGACTATTTTTATTAAAATAAAAATAGTTTGGGTACCTAGGTCGACTCAGCCTTACCTGAGTACTTGGGATTCACAATCCTGAGGTAATAATAGGCGGTTGAAGCGTAGTGCTAGCCACATTACCTTCCTTGTATACCGAACGGCTCTAGTATAGCAAGCTGTACCTTGCTACTCCCAAGGCGTTAAACGCTATATACGGGAGCTATTATTAAAATTGGGTTTCTTGTAACTTGTTAATGCATTTGTTTTGAAACACCCTGTATATTGACATGAGATAAAAAACAAAATGCTCAGGCTCAGGAGAAATGGGTCTGATCGAAAAATAATGTTTTAGGAAAAGTTACACATGAAATTATTGCACAGGGTGTTTTAAAGGTAAGGTAAAAACAACCCTTCAATTAATCCTGTATAATAAGCCAAATACTAGAGTTTATAAAAAACCGAGTTTATGAATTAAAGTTGATAGATTTATATACAGTTTGCTAAAAAAAATTCATGAAAATAGTGCTAAAAGTAAAAAAATAGAAGACTTTACTTGACGAAAAAATTCTCCGTTGCGTTTTTTTTGCATCTGAGTATATATATTATACATATAAAGTTGTTTATGACTAAATACAATAGTTTTCCAAATATTTGCCGGTTAACATTTTCCCATGAACAAAATTCAATTTCTCCTATTGGATTATAAAGAAACCATGAACAATGTGGACCTTCAAAGTGTTAAACATATTTTTTAATATAATCGGAAGTAGTTCCGTAAAGTATGCATACAGGTTAATAATACTTTTGGTTAAATAAAAAATATTTTTTATCACCAGTCTTCATGGCTAGATATGATCTAATAAGGGAAATAGCAAGGGAAATATTTAAAAAAAAATTAAGTATAAACAACTTTACAAGAAGTTACATCTATTTTTGACGGCATATAATCTAAAAAGATGCAAAAAGTTTAGATATTACATTATGCACAAAATATGTTAGAACTTTATGTAAAATCAAAATATTAAAAATATATAGGGTGATTTATTTAAATGAAGGAAATTGGCAGTAACTTCGAGTTAAACTGCAATAACATAAAGTAAAACTATCTAAAGACCACCACTGAAAATACCCTGAGCTTGAAACATTCAAATTTCTATCTAAATTAGATTCTAAAAAAGTTTTAATGAACAAGTTGCGTGAAAAAAACTCTGTATAGGACGCATAGCTCGGTAGCATTTCAATTATGATTTAATAACATGCAATTACTTTTTACTTTTAATTAAAGTGATATTAATATACTCGTACCAATCAAAAATCTGCCAAGGATAATTAGTTCATATGAAGCTGCTGCTTTGGACGAGGACATGCAGATTACAGCTGCGAGTACTAGAACATTGTTCAGTAGCAGGCCTCCTTTCCTGCCAAATTTTTCGGCGACAACTCCTATAAAAAAAATAATTAAATTATCTTATCTGGTGTCGACGAATAGATAAATGAAAAAATATGTGGGTTTATTGACTAATAAAACGTATCTACGATTCAATTTTTTTCTCCGAAAATCTATTTTAGCTTTTCAATGGTTATGAATAAAAGGCAGTCTGTTTAATTCAGTAGTTTCACAAAGTAACTTACACACAGAAAAAGAACAAATATACCATACTAGTGAAATTTCCCCTTTATTTTTACTTTTTACCTAGTACCAGAGCGTCATCAAACGATGGCCTAGGGGAGGGGAGGCAGTAAAACAAAAATCTTCTGCTAGTACAGTCAATTAATTCCCATCAAATTACCCCCGCTCTCATACTTTGCCAGTCATAAGTGGTCCACTGGAAAAATTTAAATTCGAATAAATTCGTCCGAAAAAAACCAACCCTCCACACCGTTTTTGAGAAACTTAAAAAAAAATTAAAATCGATTTTCTGGCTGAACCGTAGGTCCCACAGAAATTTGTGGAACAAAAAATGAAGAGAATTAAATTCTCTACATTTTTATTTCTAAGTAACAAACCTCTAAAACCTACGAGGACAATATTAGAGGGCACCAAAGTCACTCAAAGGCAGTTATTTGCATTTTTCCGGGTGAAGCCATTTTTTTTTACTGTCTCAAAGTTTTTAAAATTAAAGAGCAGTAATCTGAGTTTCTCAAAAACGGTAGGGTGGGGGGATACGAATTTTCGAATTTAAGCTTTACCAGTGGACCACTTAGAACTGGCAAAGTATGAGAGCGGGGGTAATTTGATGGGAGTCTTGACTTTTTTTGATGTCAGATTGACTGTTGTACTATACTATGCGATTTTTTGCAAATTTCTTGAAAACTTGTATAAAAAACTTGGCCTTTGAGGTAACTTTTTAATATCGATGGGTGGCTGATAATGATGGGTGCCCCCAAACCACCATACACCCACGGCGACGCCCTTGACCTAGTATAAATTTTTGGAAAATCCACGGAATCCACACAAAATACAGCTTTAGCCACTTGTTAGCAAAATGTTTCTAGGTAGGAAAAAAAACTTAACATTTGAGGGTAATGTTTCCTAGAATATTGAAATTATTTCCACTATTTCTATTAGGTTCGTAAATTCATAAAAGGAAAGAATCTGAAATTTAGATCACAACTTTTTTAAACGGAACATCCCTTATAATATATTTCTCTTGTAAATTATTTGATTCCATTATATCTCTAGGTATACAAATGTTACATCGTGAATTATATCAAAGATAATTCTAAAGTATAATTTTCTTTGATTATATTTAAACCTTTTATTCGTTTTTCTTTATTTCCACATTTTTTTATTTTAGAATTGCTCTCGGAATTGCTGAATATTTCCCATTTCGATATACAATAACCATTAACAAATTCTACACTTAGGTACTATACAAGGTGTCCCAGAAATAAGTGCAAATATTTTAACTGGTAATATAGTTCAACCCCAGAAACACACCTATGAGGTTTTTTTCGCGAAAATTTTTTTTCGAAAATTCGGAATTTTTTGAAAATTTTGTTGGAATTTTTTTAGTTTTTGGTTAAAAAACATAATTTCTTGTTAAAAGAAAAGATCCAGTGGTTCTCAAAATTTTTGTAAAAAATCATTTTTTTTTGGAAATTTTCAAAGTAAAATAACTCGGTTATTTTGGACTTGTGAAAAACGATAGAGAGAAAATATGTTTCTTTTATCGAGATCTACGACCCCTTAAAATATTTGCACTTATTTCTGGGACACCCTGTATAGTAAGGGTAGATATTTATATCTTCGTTTATATATCCGAATGTCTGGTAATTTTATTGTATACCAAATTAATTAAAACATAATCGCTTGATTAAAATTGCGCGATGAAAAAAATCACGCACTATAGTCTTCCAAGCTCGGTCTACTACCGTTGTATAAAAATTAGGATAAGCATGGAAGGATTCTACCATATCTTCTAAGAATTATAAGTTTAATTTTTAAATTATTTTCATATTCATTAAGTCCAAAATTCTGCCACTTCAGTTCTTTAAAAATGCCAAAAATTTTAAAATTTTCATTAAAAATTTATTCGTTTTTGGACTTGTATGTTTTGCTTCTAGACCGACGATATTATAAATATATGGTTATGAATATCATATTTTTTAAATTTAATTGATTATATCTGTTTGGGTAATATTCATTTCCATTTTCAAAATTTCAAACAATAAAGGTTGCTATCTCCAGAAGTATATTTTTATTTCTTATTTCTGCAAGACGAATATCTGCTATCTCCCTATTGTGTCTGAAAAAAATGACGTAACACGAAATATTGAGTTTTATTGTTCCCCAGCAAATAAAATTCTTATCTCTTTATCATATTAACGCATCAAAATACTTCCTACATGTGTACATAATTTTTTGTGCCGTTTTTTTGCTCTCCTGTAAAATTAGGAATAATGGAGTTAGCAGTTTATCACGTTTCACCGACGATATGTGTCTTTATCGCCTTGCACACTTTGTATGGTTTCTGCTATTGGCTTTGAACAAGCTACATATTCACTTAAAAATAAATGTATTTCATATACAGGGTGTCCCAGGCTGAGCGTACATTAGAAGTTTCTAGAGAACTACAAAAATAAAAATATTTTTTTCTCAAAAACGATTAATGTTAGGTATAGAGTGTTTGATATCAAAATTCATAAAATTTTACAGAGAATTTAAATATGTAATAAAAAATGGGGGTACCCATTTAAAATCCGAAAGTTGCTGTCAACTTCCGGTATTTCGGGAAGTGCCTCCATATTGAAAATATTTTTAATGGATAGATCTCGCTGTGAAACAGTGACGTGCAAAAAAAATCAAAAATCTCCGATCTAGATACTGTAGTTCTCTAGAAACTTCTAATGCACGCTCAGCCTGGGACACCTTGTATACATATAGTTTCAACGTTTTCATGACTTCATTGAAATGTGCCTGCACTGATAAAATGACCTTTAATGGAATTATAATAAGTTCCATCAGGTGAAGTTGGCGATTTTCCTGTCAATTCTAAATATGCTTCACACACCTTTTGGTGATCTAGAACATAAACTGCACAGATTGGCAGGTTGTAAATTAGAAGAATATTATATTTTTCGATCTGGCAACACTGGTTTGATCCATATGACTGAGTGCCGTAAAGCAAAAATATACATAGGTAATAATTAGTAAAAGTATTTTAGCAAACCAAGTATTTATAAAATACTAAAAGATACTAAAAAAGTGTATCTAAATACAACATACAAGATGAAATTAAAAAAAAGTATTTGAAATATTTTTTTTTATTTTGTATCTTATATCTGTATTTCAAATACTTGTATCTGAAGTATGTCACATGTCTGCTAACATACCAAACCTCGTTTTTTATCTGAAAATTACCTGTGATAGCACCTCCAATCATTCCACCGACGCAGAATATCGAGACCATCAGCGCGAAAATCATAATGACGCCGTCTTGCGAGGGCGCCTCTCCAGATCGGTCCTGAATGGTGGCAGCGATCCATTGTTCAAGTATCTGCGTATATAAAACACGTTTTGTAACTGTTTGCATGACGATATATTTGTTTACATTCGTATATTAATTAAAACGGATGGTGTCAATATTTACTTTGGCGTTACAACTTACTTTTTGAGGATTGTTTAGAACGCCGGTGTTGTAACCGTGTTGAAACGACGATCCTAGAGCAGCTGCCGCAATAGCAAACGCCAATCGTCCGTTGAAGCCCTGTAATGAAAAAAATATATATCATTTATATGTTTATTAAAAGTAAAGTAGTAGAAAAGTATATACAGGGTGATTCATGGCTACTGTAGGTTAGCGGTTTATGGAGAACCGGTGATTTTTTTGAAAATTGGAATTTTTAGATAAAGGCACCTGCTTCGTCTATCATAGCTTCAAAATAGCTTCATCTATAAGTTATTTTCAGCTTTACAGTTATATATTGATCCATCACCAGTTCTCGATAAACATCTAACCTACCATCGCCTTGATACATCTATATACAGGGTGGTCCGTATTGTAATCGGGAAAACTTCAGCAATATATTCTGCAGATAAAAAAAGTAAAACAGTTCATATAAGTCGTATAAAATTATATCCTACAATGCTTCGTTTCGAAGATATAGAATGTAAAAGTTTCATTTTTATTTCGTTTTTTTTAAATAATTACTAGACTAATAGCTTTGTTCACGGCTCCGATTCCGAACCGGTTCAGGGACTATTCGCATGCGCACTTTAAAAAGTGGCGTTTGCGGATGAATAAATTCTGAATTTTTAATAACAGTTCTGCGTTTGCGAATCTCATCGAATCGGTTCATTATTGATTCAGAATCGGTTCTAGCGGTCCTCGGATTTTTGTTGGGACTAAAAATTCGATTCTGCTAACCATGCGTATTACGCCGGCATCGATCGGATCGTCGTCAGCTAGTTGCTGTTTTTTTTGTATTATGTCATTTCCATTATTTGTCAATTGGCTATTTTAGTGTTTTGCTTGGATTTTGTTACCTACCTAGGTCCATACTTAATTACATAAACAATAAATTTACCGTCTTCGGCGTCACTCATTTTTGCGATTTTTTCGTTTGTTTCGTCCCAGTAACAAATAATAAAACACAAGTCTTTTTAGCAATTCGCTATTTACAAACATCAAGGGTTGGTCAAGGGCCTCTTGCAAAAATGACAAAAGAAATATTAAAAAATAACGAATTGTAACAAATTAACGTTACAATAACTATACAATAACAAAAATATGAAAAACATTAAGAAAAAGGTTATGTTGTTAAAGTGGGAGTTTTTAATTTTTAAAATAATTTGGTTCTATAATCGTTCGCAGTAAAATATCCTTACTGGGTCATAACTAGGCATGCGCTTTACAAAAATCTATAATTAGTTCTGAACTGGTTAGGAATCGGTTCGGAATCGGACCCGCGAACAAAGCTATTTGATATTTGAATGAAAATTGGTCTCTACTGTTTTATCGTATTTTTTTCTAGAAAAAATCATGATTAACGTAAAAAAAATAAATGTTCCAAATAAAATCTAAATTTATAATAGCAGTCAAATAACTATCTAGTCAACATGTTCATTTTTTCTCAATAATGATATGTATTAACTTTTTCTATTCCAAATATCTTGAAAACAGTTGCTCGTAGCGATTTTTACCGAGATTACGTAATTATTACCGATTATTACGTAAAAAATTACGGAAATGTATATTTTCTCACTCAGTAGTGTAATACAGGGGCGGACGAAAAGTTATTACGCTTCAAAACAGTTAAAAGATATGTAGGTGGCGCCCCCTACAAGTAGGAGTGATATTGACATCGAAATCAAGTTTCTCATGTTAAAAAACACACAGAAACTAATTTTCATACAAATATCGAATTTAGTTCAGAAATTATATGGAAAAAATCGAAATAAAAATGAAATGTCTCTACCCTGTATCTTCAAAACGAATCATTTTAGGATATAAGTTTATACGAAATTTTTTACTTATTTTTATGTGCAGAATATGCTGCCGAAATTCCCGGAATACAGTTCGGACCACCCTGTATACCGGGTGCGACTCAAAGGTATGAATGGCACCCTCGGTTTTAAATGGCACCCTCGGTATATTTTTACTTTATTCGGTAGAAGATGACACTCTGAATAGAAGGACATATCATATGTCAACTGTTGACATCTTTGCTTAAAAAATAATCGTATTTTAAATTACAATCTGGAGTGTCTTGGCTGTGTTAAAACATTAATTTTTAATCAAGAAGCCTTGGAAAAATAGATTTGACTGTCTCATGTTTTTCGTCTCTTGTCCTGGTCGGTTAAAAGATACCTAAATCGTATTTTTAATCATATCTCAAATTTTCCAAATGGAACGAGGATGGTTCATTAGCATATTTGGAAAAAGCATTTTTTACTCATAGTTTGGTACCACACACTTGGTATTTCGAGTCAAATGGTCGTTATGAACCGCATGTTACAATTTCAAATAAACCAAATGCGAAAATGTCAAAAGTTGAAATATTATATCATGTTATTCTATTGTGTGTCATTTTCTATCGAATAAAGTAAAAAAATACCGAGGGTGTCATTTAAAAATCAAAAGTTGGAGTCATTTCCGGTGAATCAGGAAGTGACCAAAAACAAGTGAATATGTTAATCAATCCTAATTTATGTCATATACTAACATAACAAATCTCGTTTTTTTTCTCAAAAAATAAAAAAGTTATAGGGGTGAGCCACTTTTGAGACGCACCCGGTATATATTTAAATTTTTATGTTGTAGTTTTAAATTTAACGTTTATTAAAATTGGAATCAGTGTTGACATTGATACCAAAAATCCACTGTTTTATTTGTAAATTTTATTTGCATATTTAAACACATCTATCTTATTTGTCTAATAATCATACCTATAACGTGTAAAAAAAGTTCATCAGATTTGGCGCTTATATTAAAAAATGAGACAGTAATAAAGAGTTTTTAAGATACTAATTCAACAAAATTAAGCGGTACCAAGAATAAAGTTAATAAATTAATTTATAAGTGAGATAAAAGTCTTATGATCGATAAAAACTAAATGTAGATATCTGCAGATGCAGATATCGGCATTATGTCTATTATATTATATTTTAATATAATTATAAACTATAATAATGTCTATTTTGGCGGTTTTTATTCATTTCATGAAAAAAAAACTGGTTATTCCACCACTGAAAAGGAGACAGAGAAAATAAAATAGTGATTTTTTGTAAAATATCGTGATATTTTACTAAGGAGAACTTTTTTATTTTGTATATTCCTGTTTCAGGTGGCAAAATAGTCAGGCTATTATCAAAAAACTCTAAATGAATCCAACATAATATCAAGGGTCGTCCGGATTGTATTCGGCAAATTTCGACAGCATATTCTCCAGATAAAAATAAGTGAAAATTTTTGTTCTTAAATCCTTCGTTTCGAAAATACAGAGTGTAGAAGTTTCATTTTTATTTCGATTTTTTTCTAAATAATTTCTGAACTAACCTCTACCGGGTGCGTGTCAAAAGTGGCTTACCCCCAAAAAAATACCGAGGGTGTCATTTAAAAATTAAAAGTTGTAGTCATTTCCGGTTAAACAGGAAGTGACCAAAAATAATTGAATACGTCAATCAATCCTAATTTATGTCTCATACTAAGGTACCAAATATCGTTTTTTTATCTGAAAAAATAAAAAAGTAACTTTTGAGACGCACCCGGTATATTGGATGAAAATTGTCGATTGGGAGTTTCTTGACATGAGAAATTTTATTTCGATGTCAATATCACTCCTACTTGTAGAGGGCGCCACCTACATATTTTTAACTGATCTGAAGAGTAATTATTTTTCACCTGTACCCGTATCACATTACCGAGTGAAAAAATATGAATTTCCGCCGTTTTTTACATAAAAAGATGTCTTGGTAAATCGCTATGAGAAATGGTTCTCGAGATATTTGGAATCGAAATAGTCAATAGGTACATGTCCATCATTGACAAAAATTGGGTATGTTACTACTAAGAAAGTTATTACAATGAAATCATAAAACTGAAATATTTTTGAGCCAAAAGTTGAACAGAAACTATTTCAAAATTTTTTTTTTTTAGAAAAAATTATGATTAATTTGAAAAAAAAAGTTCCTAGATTTATAAGTCACAGTCAATTATCTTAATATACAGGTACCTACAGACCAAAAGTTATTAAATCAGTCAAAAAAATATGTAGATGATTTCACCTACAAGTAGGAGTCATATTGACATTTAAATCAAATTTCCCCTGTCAAAAACACCAGTTTTGAAACGAAGCATTTTTGGACATAAATTTATACTAACTTCTTTTTATTATTTTTATCCGTAGAATATGCTGCCGAAGTTTCACGAATACAATTCGGACCACCCTGTATAGCAAGAATTAATCATACATAATAAAAAAAAAACATTCGATATTGCCTTGTATGTAAGGGTCAGTTTCAGTTTATTTAAGTGCTAGAGCTTAACGAGTTAATTATGGTTTAAAGCACTTTCTTGGAAATTGATTTTTATTGAGTTTTATTTTAATCTTTATGAAACTAAGACTAAAATTAGATGCATATTTGTACACGAGTACATGCGACTTTTGATGGCAAACCTACTTGTACTTAACCCAGTACAAAAAAGACAAAAATACGAAAAGGATACGGAAGCAACATGTACGGAAGCAAGAACATTTCCATTGTGCAAAAGACCAGCTTTGAAGCTTTTCTTTGATGAGTCAATTAAAAGCCTCCAGTCACTATAATGAATATTACATCTTAAACACTAATTAAATAATTGCTCGGGAACAAAAAAATATTTATTTTCTATTGGTTTAGTCTCCAAAACTCCAAAAATATGAATAATACCAAATCCCAAAATCAATGTTGGCGTGTTCTGCCGCCATATTTTGATAAATGTTCTTAATGAAGACCAAAAACAGGAAACGAGATATATGGCGCTTTTTCAAAACAATGTGCCACCCTGTATATTAATATGTGTTATTTATTTATTTAAACATTGTTATAAATCTTGAATTAACTGTTAATCAGTGCTTAGATTCAGATATGTTTCAACTATTTCTTATGCTATTCAGTAATGATTTGAAATAAATAAAAATAAGTATTTTTGTAAAATCTGTGAGAAACAAAGTCTGTTACCTCGATACCTTTACAGGGTATCCCAGAAATAAGTGCAAGTATTTT